ACAGTATCCTTTGTTTTGGGAATAGTCGAACGCCGTAATCTATCTATAAAAACGCTTCAGCCATCCATTCAGTTCAAACGGAACCACAACTTTCACAATTCCTCTGTTTTTTTTTCAAGAACAATTCATATTCTAAATACGTAACCATCTTCCTTACCGTTTCATTTCCAGATTCAATATTATGAAGCGAGTTACTCTCTGCTTAGCAACAATTACTGCTATTATTTATAGTGCGCATGGTAGAGAAAAGTTAAGCCATCTAGCTTATTGAATGGAATTGGAATAGTGTTGCTTTCTTTTCAGCACTCAACTGTCCACCAGCAGCTCCTCCACTTGGTGGAACAACTTCGTTCACTGGAGAACCCAGAGAAGGATCCGTAGCTGTTGGAATGTGCCCGCTTGGTCAAATTATGAGCGGTAAGACAACTTGTTGTTTTCAGTTTTCGTTTAGGGAAATTTCAATGGTGGATCCTTGCTGTGAAATTCCGCTTCAACTCACAAATATGGGTAGTTCATCTTTTCTAGTGAGAAGACAGGCGAAAGCAAAGGTCAGAAATATTAGGGCAACCCAAAGCCCTTTTGAACACTGATTTTTTGAAGGGTTTGAATTAGAGGGGAGAAGGAGATGTAGTGGGACGCGACGCTGCATGTCAAGCTCATGGCGCGACGAGCAGGTCACAACGTTCAAGCCTATCAACACTCTGCGATCAGGAAATGACTTACAATTTGAAAAGCACTGCACTGCAGATATTCTACTTCACAACTAAATGTGTAGGCATAATGCACATTCAAAGAATTACGGTTTTGAGTAGAAGAGAAAGGCGTGGCGCATCACAGGGATCAAAAAATGGATCTGCTCCTCTGTAACAGTTTCCTACGTGTTAGAAACCGTGAAAGCCAAGCTGGTGCACAAATGAGCGTTGCATCGACACGTCGATCGGAGCACGTACCAGACCTTGTGACCGGTCGCTAGCTAACCAAGCGATGCACTTGATGTCCCAGTTCTTCAAAGACGGAACAGAAAGATCATTGCCCACTGTGGATGAGGGTAGCGCTTGTAGAAGGTGCACCGGTTGAGAAAATTGCGAGAGAAAGCGGCTCAGAAGATCAGGAATGGAACTCACTTTTCCAAGTCAATTCCTATGGGCGAAATTCAGCGGAAGATTATGTAATCGGCGAGTTTCGTGTTGTTTTAGCCTCTCTAGTTTCCCTCGCCGCACTCGGCCATCAATCATCATCAACCAATTACAACCAGAGTCCCCCAGTAGGACGCGGGCCGAACCACGGCAGGTCGCGCTGGACAGGCTTCGGGTTAGCTTCGCGGGCCGATGGGCATGCGCACGTTCGCATCGACCCCTATCTCTGGTACTCACTCTGGGACCCTGCGCCGCCCTTTGCAAATAGTGCATAGTTGTCCGCCCCTTCCTTCGCCGAGTGTCTGAACACAGGAGGCCCGTCCCGCGACGAAAATGCAGAGATTCATACGGGTCAGCTGACAATGTGCGCAGCGCGTGCTGTGTGATGGTGGAAGTACTATAGTACAATATGTCTCATCTAACGTCAAATCACTACAGTACGCGCTGGGGCTCGTCCGCTGACACGTCTGTGTCTCTGCTTCTTCTCTCCGCGCGACGGGCTTCCTGTGGCAACAACGACAAACAGGTTAGCCTACTTTCCTGTCCCTCCCCCAGCAACGTTTCATCGACAACGATCCCACTTTGAGCGGAGCGGCTCGAGAATGTACAGGACGCTTTTCAAGAATATAAACCGAAGCGACTTTTTTGGAGACGGCCACCCTGCTATTTCGAGGGAACATCGGACACGATTCTAAGAATTGCTGGACAGGCCTAGCGAGTCGCTAGCACCGACGCTGACAACAATTTTGGCTTAGTGGAAACGAAATTGAAAGTGAGCTCATTGACGTCAGAACTATTCAAGGCGATCCACTGCGTCGACTCTCTCTCGAGCTTTTGTTTATAACAGGACTCCACTTATTTGGCAAAAGTCCAATTCGACGTACAAGCATTTCCTGTCTCTTTGACCCGATGATAAGAATGGTGTAGAAAAATACGATAAGGTTGAACAACCCAAAGAGCCTTCACTACTATTATTTTCAGGCCCATCTACTATCACATGCACTAATGGAGCATGGACACCACTAGCATTTGGAATATGTACGCCGGCAGGAAGCGGCGGAGGTCTTGGGCTGCCGCCATCAGGAGGATTGGGTGGATTAGGTGGATTGGGAACTGGGATACCACCAGCGCTACCAGGACTCGGACTAGGAGCAGGGCTCGGAACCGGAAGTAAGATTGCATAATTTTTTTCATTGGATGTTGTCATACTTATAATTGATTACTTTTGATTCAGTGGGTGCTGCGCAGTGTGCACCAATGTTGGCACCAGCGGGCTCAACAATTTCGTATAGCAGCGGTGCAACGAGCTCTGGAATTCCACCATTGCAGGCCCATGGTTCCACTGCCACCATGAGATGCAATGACAACTCTCTTGTGTCAGGTGAGCCAAATGCGTGGTAGTGTTGTTGAATGCGTCGATGCAAAGGCAGTAGGGGCCCGAAAGCAGGTTATCTAAGAAAACGAATGATGAAGAGCCGAGATCACTGTTTAAAACGGCAACGTAGCTTCCATTATGCCTTCAAACAATGACAAAATTCACGATCTGGACGACCCCGTTTAAAAATTTGAAATTTTATTCATGAACTGAAGCATGAGGAAATGTGCTCGAAATATAGGCGTGACGATATTCATGTGAAATGTGCCATGGAAGTGGAGCAGGGCTCAGCTGAAGTAAACCAGCCCTTTTGGCGTTTCTACTGGGCTGTATGCTGAATGTTGTGGAGGGGATGGGGTCCCCGACGGTCGACGGACTATTTCAAATCGGTCCCTATTTGATGCTTACTTCAGGTCCGCGCAACGAAGAGAGGACGGCTTGCGAGAGAGCGCAGGTCCGCCTTCTCTCCAAGGCTTAGTCCTGGTGTAAGCAAACCAGCCCTTTGGCGGAGCTGCTGGACCTAGCTGCACCACTTCCTCACCACTCTCCTAGCGTACCGATCCGAGTTCAAGTAGTCCATCGAGCTCGGGGACCCCATTTCCTCCCCAACAATTTCAAGATAGACGGGCTCCCACAGAAGCACAACAGGGTCGTTGTTGCTAATCTCGCAGCAGATATCCTTGAGGCAAAAAAGTTTCCATGGGAGCCCACTCTGCCGTTCCTGTTGTTCATCCCTCACTTCTCATCAATCCCTTCTCGCAATATGACCAGCCCATCCTATGGGGTTGTTCATGTTCTCTTCAAGATCGCAAAGACAGAACATCGCTGTGGAGTCTGGTTCGATGTTAAATAAACCGACTAGACCTCAGAAGACATTGTTGGAGCTCTCTGTGGGTTGCAGCCTGTGTTTCAACCTCGTCGCATAGCGCGGGCAGACTGTGGAATCAAATTCGAGCGGAGTTCTGGACCAGCCAGGTGTAACCACGTCTTTCACAAGAAAAAACTGTCCAGGCTGCTCTCCTACGCTTTCTGGCTCTTCTTTTATGTCCAGGCTCATGGAACACCCGAAAATTAAAGTTGAGCGACCTCCATTGAATCAACCGAACACGGAATCAAGAGTGGTAGTCGGTAGTTTACTGATCGCCGATCGCAGTGATTCTAGCGCTGTAGCGTGAGCCAAAGGTTCAAAGAACAGCCGATTTTGTTATGTCATAGATCTAGCAGCCATCCCTCAACTAGTTAGAGCTGCCACCGAATTATTTTGACGTGACACCGAGTGATCAGCGCGATCTCTGGTGCTCTTCGAGTGCCTAATGGCTTCGACTAAAACGAGCATAAGACTTTAACTTGTTTCCTTCAGAGAAAAAAAAGAGGAAAGAAGTGTGCTGTGACTTATCCAGCTGGCCAAATATTTACCAGATTCATGATTTCAAACGCGAGTCTCGCGCAAGGTGAATCGCAAAAATAAGGGCCAGAGCCGTGATCCCTCTGCGGGCTCAATCAGCAGTATTTCTATGACTTCACCAGGCTTTTGTGTGTGTCGTGCATTTTGTCACTTGTATGTTAGAGCTGTACTTGATGAGTCCGCGCAGCCCTGCACTTCTATCTGTGCCACCACAAAATATTAAGAGTAATGCTAGGCTGCTCGCTATGTAATAACACTGACAATATTAGGCCGATGTCAGACTTTGCGAATCGCGCGATTCGCTAGCGTCTGCGGTCGCGTCGCGGCCAGTGAATCACTCAATTGGCTGGTACCGCAACGCGACCGCGGACGCTAGCGAATCGCTAGTAGCGAATCGCTCGATTCGCAAAGTCTGACATCGGCTTTACAGAGACACGCTTCCTTTATGTTTTACAGTAGCTGCAGCTGAAAACGGCAAAAATAAACATCTCTTGCACATTCTGCCCTTAAAATATTCTCTAACCACAGATGCAGCGCATTCGGCCAAGAATAACAAGGTCGCCAAAAATTATCAATGCTGAAATGACTGCTCATAGTTGTTTACGCTGTTCATGCCTAACAACCTCGGTCTCGGTCTCACCAAAGCAATCCACTTCTAACACAGGTGATACGATGAGTTAGCCTTCCGTCGAGAATGGAAGTGAAGTTGCTAACAGGTGCAAAATTGCAGAAACATCAAAGGATATGGTCTGAAATACGCAAAGAGGAACTGATTGTGGGATCCGATCAACTTCTGCCTAAGAACAGACTCGGATTTTTTGTTCCCTCCCTTATTCAATATATGTTTTCTTGGACCTCCAAAAATTTTGCTAAATCAGATAACTTTACTCTCTGGTCACTCGATAACCCGGAACGAAAAGTAGGATTGAGTAAAGGGCAGGTTGAAGGTCTTAAGAAGGAGGATCAGAGCACTGCAGCCTTGAGATTTTGATTGAACTTGTGCACAGAGACCACCTGCACTATCCTTCGTGAGCCAACGGAACTCAATTCCTTGAAATCTATTTCGCAACAGTTTGCCTCTGTTTTGTTACCACTATACCGACGTAATAGGTGGATGTTCAAAAATCAGATCAACCTGGAAAGACAGACCATGTAAACGATTAAAAGGGATTATCGTTACAGATTAGAGTCGTCATAAACAAGCACACTCGAGGAACAGCGTTTTCCCACCAACTGTTTACCGTTCGACTGTTCAGATTATGGTCGTCGAGTAGAAATTTAAGACCTGTACAACCCTTCTCCTGCTAGAGCGGTTTTCGTAGAGCCACTTGTAGGCTCTTCCACCTCTGGCCAAGCTTGCATCTACAAAAAGTCTGTTGAATGAAGAAAGAGTGGGCCTGCAGAAAGACTTCTGAAAGACTCCCGCATTACAAGACATTACAGAGATTTTACTGTTTTCTAGCTTCATATCTTTCAACATGATGAGAGCGGTTAGCCCAAATATGAGTCGCTTCCAAAAACCACAACTACGACCTTCCTTCCTCCTTGTGAATCTGTCAACGGATGTTTTGATACATGCTCACATCAATAGGCTTCTAACAGCTGAGAGGGTAGTAAACTACCCTTTATTCGGAATAAGAGATGGTGATTAAGAACCCTTATTATAGAATGAGGAATCAGGCAATCGCGAATCAACCCTGCAGTAAATCAAGAGCTTCCCTGGATTGTTCGCAAAGCTCTGACTTCGCCCTGATTTGAACCAGGGTCAACGTCCGCTTCGCATTATGCAAACGAAGTGGTCACATTTTGGTAAAGTTGGCTCATTGGAAATAAGGGTAGAGGTGGTCAGTGGAGCAGGGATGAAGAAGAAACCATTTGAAACGGCCCGAACCCGAGAAATGGGACCCCTTCCTTGCCCGTTGATTTGCGCATTGATGCGACTCTCATCGCTGTGCCCTCTTCAACACTACTGCTATCTAATCACTCCACGTATAGACCTGCGGCGAGTGATTAGATAGTCGGTGGGCGTACCCCGCCAACCGCGCCAAGAGTGAGCCATGCTAGATCGCCGAGGTCAAATCTTTCGCTGCCAATTGCGCGTCGGTCAGCACCCTCAGGAGGTCCGCCTGTCTCCCAACTATGCAATTTTCCCCTTCTTTGACCTTCGTTCCTTAGCGTGAATTCCTCCTTTAATCCTTTTAGCCCTGATGGTGGCAATTGCCACCATCAAATTCAATGTCTGAATTACATCAAATTCAAATGTCTGGATTACCGCCGCATTTCACCACCCACTAAAGAGGTTACTTCAGACAACCTTCCTCTTCCTAATTATGCTCTACCGCCATTTTCATTGTGTGTTGCTGTTAGCATTACAAGTATTTGTGTACAAGTGCAACAATGAATCGGCGCTGGTCTCAGCAAGCTGCTAGGTAAGTGTCAATCATTTCTGGAAATACTTGTCATGTACATATTCAATTTCTTATCAGAAGCTCTAGATATAATGTTGCACAAGATCATAAACTTTTTCGACATAACTAGAAATTTGGAATTGTTTCGACATAAGCTAAAAAACTAAGAAGCTGTGCCAATTTTCAAAGCTTCCTAGTTCCTTAGTTTGTGATCGGAATAGCTTCCAAATTTTGCTACGTCTCATCTACACTGCGTCCCATAATTATACGTCCACCTAAGAATTTCCCAAAATCTCACAGATATAGATGTTTCGAAAAAAGTCTCCTATGTGACAATGTATCGCATATAAATACGCAATTGCCTATGAACATCAATTTTCTATTTGAGATCACAGGAATTTTTCCCAATAATTTTTGTGTAAAAGGCCACTCAGCCGACGTCCCAAAATTATACGTCCACCTCACGTTTATCGATTACTTTTCACTTCTGTTCCACGAAACTTTTTCATTGTGGTAACACTTCACTTCTTAAGGGAAACAGCATAATAAAGACTGCTGTTGGATTTTGAGAAAGGAAAAATGTCGCAAAAACTGTTGAACAACGCAATCGCACCAGATTTGGTCCAGATTCACGCCAAGCTTGAGAATTTTTTCAGGGGTTTCACATGATATGGAGCTTAGAAGAGCTCTAAAAGTCTCTCATTACTTTTCGATGGAAACAAAGGCCGTGTTACAGAAATAACATCCATTTTCATCCAACGGTGCTCTGTCATCGAATTTCGTTGAGAACTTTATGCCTATACGACAGTTTTTTCATGCATGTAAAGGCCAAGATCGTTCTTGATCGGAAAATGTGAAAGACGTTCATTTGTGGCAAGGAATCGTGACGAAAACTGGGCTGATTTTTGCATGAAGGTGCAGCCGAGCCGACTGGAGCAGGGTCCTTTTTCCTTGCTATGCATGAGTGTTTGTCTGTCTTTCTTTTCAACATTTTCTTTCTTTTAGTAGTGCTCCACTAAGAAAAAAGCCATTAAGGGAAAGGTAGACGTGAGAAGAAAAAACAAATGCCAAAACATATCGGGCAGAAGCGAACCTTACTTCAGTCGGCTCGGCTGCACCTTCATGCAAAAATCAGCCCAGTTTTCGCCACGATTCCTTGCCATAAATGAACGTCTTTCACATTTTCCGATCAAGAATGATCTTGGGATTCCTT